CTCGTCCTCCTCAGTCTTGACCGCTTCATTTGTGTCGTGTTCCCGTTCAGCAACTGGCGTTTGGGCGTTGTGTCTACCCGCGTTACAATCGGAGTTATATGGCTAGCATCTGTACTACTCAGCGTGGGAGGTGTATTGCTGAATAACCTCAATCCAGATGCCTATGGTCTCAGTGACGTATGCGTCGGACTCCCTTTCATTCGAAAGTCTACGGATATCCGCGAAGAGGACGACACCTGGACATCGAATCAGTATGGCATACCCTATTCCACCACGATCGCTGGCTCAACCGTATCAACATGGAAGTACTCCATTGTTCTTTTCCTTGGTATCAATCTATGTGGTTTCGTTGTCATTTTTCTCTCGTACATTGCCATTTTCATCAAGGCCCGTTTTGTCCGCGCTGAAGTCGGTCAAACCAGCCAATCAGCCAAGGAGATCAAGATGGCGCTGAGGATGCTGCTGATCGTCGGCACTGACCTTTTCTGTTGGATGCCAATCATCATCCTTGGTATCCTAGTCCAGACCCTCGGGGTCAACGTAACACCGGACATCTACGCCTGGTTGGTGGTCTTCGTCATGCCTATTAATTCATCTCTCAATCCCTATCTCTACACCATCATAAATATGGTTTCCAAATGACTCTTATATATGTGCTATGTGATGACATCATTATGTTCTGAAACATTGTTCGGTATTTTCAAATTGATGTCATCCTATCTAGACAGGGGAAGAATATTATGTATCTGCACATGGTATGTAAAATATATAATTGAATGTGTTAGATTCAAAACTTTCCCTATTCATTTAAAATCAATGAAAATCAATTAATTATTTGAGAGTACTATCTATTTGTTTAGTTTATCCAAATTTCCCAGGGATTAAGGGATTAAGTTATCAACACTAACAAATCAGCAGTTCGATCGTTAAAGTGTATTATAACTAAATTTGAACGAAAAGTCACAAATGTGGAGAAGCGATAGAGATAAGGAAGGCGTTCTCCCACCCCGTAAATTGATCCTTTTTTTTCCTTCAAACTTGATATCAAGATTCTGTCACAACTTTTCTTTAGCAACTTTATACGACCAGCGAAAAAGTACCATTCAAAGCATAACAATTTAATTCAGTTACATAATTAGAAGCGGGCAAGCCGGGGAGAGACTTTCAAAACCAAATAAAATGTATTAGTGTCATATACACAGCTAGGGTACAGAGTGCTATATATAGACAGCCAGTGGCGGCGATTTTTTTTTTTCTCACGACGCGGGGGGGGGGGGGAGAAATGCGATATCTACTTGTACATTTTGAAGGATATTGTGCGAGGGAGCGTAGCGACCGAGTGAAAAGATTTGTGTATTTTGTTAGTCTAATAGCTGCAGTCTTGGGCCCTCCAAAGCCTTAAAGTGTGGTGCAGTCTTTAGTCAGTATTTGCTATACATTTTGGGGGCACTTTTTCAATTTTTCCGGGGGACGATCGCCGCTCCTGTAGACAGCACTTTCGGTGTCATGCCACAACTCTTTAAACCCACGTTAGGCTCACTATGCACAAGTAGAAAATGACATCGGTGATTTTAAATGACAATCCTTGTAATAGGCTTGTACTTTTTAAGGACTTCTCTTTTAGGCATGAGTCTATCCTTCAGCTCGATGGTCCTTTTCAGAGTTTTTTTGTTGTCATGCACTTACTACACGTATTTCTTTATTCAAACATATATATGTGGACTAATAGGCACTGTTAATTAATTGATTGAATTTACTACATTTCATGTCGATGATGGTATGTTGCACATGACCACACTTCACCAAGAAGAGCTTGTACACCAATAATGAATTGCAAATTTCTTAATAAATTTAGCTCCTACATCTCAATCAAATAGTACTCTGAATATGATTTGTTGTCTTGCATTTCTGAATCCACCTGGACGTACCTAACGACTACACCCAGTATCATGATCCACCCCTTGGATTGTATTCTTCAATACTGACTGCATTAGACCAGCCTTGAAGAGTCAGGTGAATAATGGAATGCATCGTGTCAATTCAATGTAATTAATACACACAATGAAGCAGTGGCGGATCCAGGGGGGGGGGGGGGGGGGGGGACCAAAAAAAGAATATGCTCGCTACCCCCCCCCCCTCCCACTGAGCGACTTTTCGACCGGGGCGATTTTCAAATTTTCGGGAGCAAAAAATAAAAAAAGTTGGGCCCCCTCCCCTAAGAAATCCTGGATCCGCGCCTGCAATGAAGAAACCACGACCAAAAACTTATTCTAGCATGAAATTAATACAATTTATAAGTCAAATATTTTATGAGATGATCATTGTTTGATTACAGATTGACACATGATTCTGAGCTTTACATAAATCAAGGGACTAACTGAACCCTTTTAGAATGTTTATCAGGGTATTCAACCTAGAATATAATTAATCCGCTCACAAGAACACTTGACTTTAACACATTTTACAATAGAGCAGCATTGGGATTTGAACCCATGCTATTGAAATAACTTTAGCAGAACGTGGCCGAAATGGAAGACTGCAAATATGTCCAATGAGGTCCAACAGTGGAGTAACTCAACCTACATTGTGGTGGATTAAACCTGGCCTGCAGTTAATCTCCTTTCAATAATATCTGCCAATATCTTTTAAATGGTGGCAGCGGTGGGATTTGAACCTACTCCTTGTGAATGGAATTAATGATGCCTGTGTCTCATATGGATCTAATAATGGACTAACTCATGAAACTTAGCATGGGTTCAAATCTGGCCTGAAGTTAGTGCAGTACATTTGAAATTATGAGAGCAATGGATCAAATTAAAGAAACCATGTTTTTTAAACTAGAGTCTTACAGCAGAAGAACTTAAACTGCAGTATCTGGCCGGCATAAAACCTGGCATAAAATTGTGTGTACTTCCAGTTATAGGCCAGAATGCTAGCCACACAACTTCATTGACTTCTCCATTCTTCTAGAAATCACTCATTTTGCTGGTCCACAAGAGGTTGTCCCTTTCTTTAAAAATGTACATTGTTGTTTAATGTATATCCAAATTCAGTTTAGTCTGCATGACTCGACTTTTTTATAAGTGATTAGTGACTTAGTCAAATTTTTCCTCAGTGAAATAATTAGTTTGGATCAAACTATTCCAAACTTTGTATCATTTACACTTCTTAAGTCAAATTTTGCATGAGTCAAGATGTGTTTTTGTGAAGGTTCAAACAGATTTGACTTATGCAGAGTTAACTGTATTTAAAAGCTAGGACACTTCTGTGTAGATCGGCCCTGTTGGCTCTCTATTCAATCTTTAAAACATTGATAAACCTACTCTTCATAATTCGTGGCAGTTTTATGAACCAACGAATCTGTCATACACATTAATGTACAGATTTGGCGTTTCACAATAATGATAACGAATTTACCAAATGTAATATATAGATGCAATCTTTATTTACATCACAACAATTTTGTCAATTCCAACATGCTAAGATAAAGTTTAAAAAACTGTGAAAAGGTAAATTACCTCCTGTACATGCAGGTGTGGTTAAGAAACACTCGGAATAGGAACTGCAATCTTTCGGTTTGATTTTCAGCAAATTATTTAGCAGATATGGTATAGGGGCACATAAAATTTGTTTAAACATATCACAGAATAATTTCAAAACAATCCTAAGAAATAATGCCAAGCAAACAAACATTCATATTTTCTTGTCCTTACACACTCATTTTTTTCCCCAGCATGCTCCTTCTTGCTGTCATTTATATCTTTGTATCACTGCCATAACAATGTAAATAATTGAAGTAACAGAAATAAAGTAAGGAGATCAGTGAGCATATGTCTCATCAAGCAACAATGTTGACCGTTGTAGTAACCCCTTTCTTGTTAAAGAGAAATTTGGTTCATTCTGGATATACATGTTTACATAAGTTGCACCATACTGTGTTTTCAATAAAAATTTAGGTAGAAATTGGTTTAAAGAATTAGTCCTAAAATGTGTGGTTCATTTCATAAACACAAAAACAACAGGATAAAAAAGGTGCACCTGTTGACTAGCATCATAAATAACAAATACTGACACTGTTCCTTCATTACATTATTACTACATTAAATATCCTATGAGTGCTATTAACATATTCATACAAATGTGTACTTTACTACCCAAATGCCAGTTATTGCCAAAGACGTACGTCTCAAGCCGCTCGTCATAAACATGGATAAAAATAAAATCTGTTATTTCTGTTATTATTGATTAAAAATCATCACAACTGTCATATTACAATCATGCATAAGAGTGTGTAGATTTGTGATTGATTGGAGGACATACGTAGTCATTCTGAACCAATCGCAACTCATTATTAAAGGCGATGCCCTGGTTTTCTGGGTGGGATTTTATATTAACTAGTTTTAATGTGGAATGCCAATTGTCAATCTCTTCATCATGTACACATTACTGTTATTCTGGAGTAAGTAAATAAACAAAATGAAGCAAGGCATGGAAAGAACCTAAAAATTTCAAAAATATGACTTCTTCTTTTTCACTTTCGTACTGAGGCATAGTAATTGTAAGGTGTTTCATTCAGTTTTGTAATCGTACGGGATCTACAATGTCAATGGAAACTCCTCAAGTCCATATTCTAACATACATGGCTTACCGGTAGTTGGGTAGAACCATATCATTATGGTGAATTGAATCTAAAATGGTTAATTAAAAATGACACATACCAGCCTGCAAGTATAATTGCATATCGATTAACAATAAAAAGAGGGGTAAAATTGCAATTGAACTTGCACAAATATACATTAATCTTAACAATTTGAAAGCATAACAAGTCAGTACATTATAAGATGAATCACTAGGGATGTTGTTATGCAACAGTAAAAGAAAGAGAAAAGAGAGAGAGAGATAGAGAGAGAGGGAGGAATAGAGGTAGAGAGAAAGAGAGAGAACGATGAGCTCATGAGAGAAAGAGGGAAAGAGAGAGAGAGAGAGAGAGAGAAATAAGAGAGAGGGCGATGGAAGAGTGAGAGAGAGAGATAGTGCGATGACAAAATGAGAGAGAAAAAGAAAGTTTCAACGAGATCTACATTCAATATTTTATAACGACAGAAAGTAACTTACATGTAGACATGGGTTGAAGGGCATATTTAAACTACAGTGGAAACTTGTTATAACGAGGTCCTTGGGACCAAGGAAATTACCTTGTTATATCAGGGTAAAAAGCAAAAGAATATAAAGAGCTGGGACCAGCAAAATCACCTTGTTAGAACAGATACATCAAAGCTCTTTAAAATGAGGTTCCACCGTATCAATCCAAATTGAAAAGACACACATATTCAACCCTTAAAAAGGAATAGAAGGCAAACAGTGGAGAATCAATAGAGTACAAAAATTAATCAGTAAAACATAACAGTTAACAAAATATTACATTCGATAAGAGCTAGTAAATACCTCTACTACCTTTCATTAGCTAAATATACCTCAAAATGTCAATCAGATTACACTACACTTTTAACTCACCAGGCTTTATCACCAACAATCATACCTTTTGCTCTCTGTACACGCTTATGGTAAGAGGTAAAAAAAAAAAGTACAATTACTTTGTGAGGTTCATGTTAAAATATCATACAAAATATATTATTGCCATATATTCAAGCATGGAATCTTTAAGTGTACATACATGTACCAGTTAGAGAATAATAAATCCAACAAACAGACAATTCCACATTTGATATTTTCTCTCCAAGTACTTTACATGGATAGCATAAATTAATAAATTATTCTTATATACCTTTACCAATATATAACCAGTCAGTACTGGCAAAAGATTAACATATATGTACATATGTATGTATATATAAGTATGATTCTTTGTTTTACACACACAGATCGACTTTCCCTCTATATAAAAGAAGAATACGATTTGGATGTACAAACAAAATTCTTTGTTACTCACAAGGACAAATATATTCATAGTTCTGGACAAAATTTGTTCTTTCAATATGAAAATTATCCTAACAAGTCAAGCGAAAAGTCTAAGGGAAGCACTGAAGATTATTTGGAGTCAATGTAACAATAGGAATTGCATTATATTACTCTTGATATCGACATGTATTTAGTGACAATAGAACTTGTATTAATGATGAAAATTGAACAGCCTAACATGGCAAGATACGTATGAAACTTGTCTAAAACTCTGTGGTGCCTACATTGTTCATATCTAAAGTGGTACAAAACGGCCATGTCCACATAAAATGGCTCCAGTATAGTGTGTGTCTTATATATTATATATTTCTGCATCATTTATAAATATTCTGATCAGTGACTACCCTTTGGTCCTTTACTCATTGCACGCATACTGTCTGCCCCCCCCCCCCCCCACCTAAAATTAATCATACATTTTGCCTCAACGTTTTTTTCTTCTTGTGTACTGCATCACGTGTGAACAAAAGTCTCCAGATTTCTATGGTAAGATCGAATTTCCAACTTCAAAATGGAATACATCCAATCTCACTTGCATCACCAGAACATTTTTTGGCTGCAGAATGTAACACACAAGATATACTTTTTATACATCAAATGGGTAATTATGTGAAATATTTCCCATAGGACATAGGTAAGTCGTTTTCCTCCTCATATATCATCCGGAAGGAAAAATATCTTGACATAACCATTGACTTATGATGCTTTCTCAGATCACTACCATTAGTCATAGTCAATCAAGAGATTTTGTGATTCATGGATGAAGATATATGAATATATGTCATATGTTGTATGGAATACGTTGCAAGGAATTGCCCCAAATAAATGCTCTATATTGCTCAATGCAATTCAAGTTATTGATGTAAGAAAACATTGTCTAGTATTTTTAAACACTTAATTGACATGTTTATGACAATGTGACCTTTGACCTCTTACTCCCAAAATTTGATCAGTTAATCATTGCATGTTCATCCATTCTTTATTCAAGTTTGGTTTGAATTGCTTCAATTCTTTTCAAGTTATCACAGTAAAAAGGTCTTTTGCGGTTTCAGCTGAAAGTAACCTGTACTTCGAATGCATTATAGAAATGATTGCCTATTTGATGCAGTCTGTAATGTAGTGGCAATCCAGTGAGGCAAGGAACTCCTTATCCGTCTTCTTGTTGACAGTCCAAGGTATTACTGTGAGACCACGTGCTGACCAGTACCGGATAACATTCCTGCATGGGCACAGACAAAGAGAAAGAAAGAGAATGGGAAAACAGATAGAGATCGAGGGACAGTGCAGGTAAAATATGAGTTTGAATCTAATTTTCATAGAAGCAGACAAATAAAAGAAAATAATCAGTGAAAGTTTCAAGAACACCTATTGAAAAAACATGAAAGAAAATAGTGAATTTAAATATTTGTAAATGATCAAACAAAAAATTAACCACTTCATGACATACTTTGCTCTGACCTGGTAGAGTTTTCTCACTAAGTTAATGTCCTTGCCATTTGAAGTGCGTGCATTTCAACACGTCTCAAATTTCATCAATGCCAGATATATGCATAGGCGCATCTTAGCCCTGCATTAAGCTGTGGGTTATCACTTTTTGATGGGAACTGTTTTGTACAGTATAGGCATGTTAGGATAGAGTGATGCCCTGCCACATGTTGTAATTCAACCAATTAGATTGCCTAAATTCTAGAACCTGTTTTATAATAGCAGCATACATGCTACTTGAATATGGTCAAGCTGCTGTTGCTATAGTAACAGCCATGAAATGCACTTACAGTGAAATTGTGTCCTTCTGAAGCAGCATAGCAGAGTTTCCACACAGGATCCACAACCAGTTGTGCAAACTCCACTCCAAGATCTTGTCAATGATCGCAAAGGGCAGTAGCTTCCACCAGGTGGGTGGTCCGGTCCATCTCTTCATGACCTGGCCAGATATGAAGTAGGGCTCAGTGGTCAGTGCGGTTAAAATCTCACTGTCCAGTTGTCTCACCTTCAAATGAAAGAAAAGATATGTCATAATTGAAAGTGGAATACAAGAGAGAGGAGGTAAATAAAGGAGGAAAATGAAGATAACAGATAGAGTACAAGACAGACCTTACAAATGAGAGGTAAATATGGCTCCCACCAAATGAGTGAACCAATCCATCTCTTCATAACTTGACTAGAGACAAGGGCATGCTGGTCAGTGATGCCAGAATCCCTTTGTCAAGTTTTGTTCACCTTCAAACGGAAGAGTTTCAATTAAATTCACTTAAAATACATGTATTTTAATAGTATTCATGCAAATAGACGGGGAAAATGTCGACAGTACCTTGTTATTTCATGATATATTGAAAACTGGCACGAAGTGTTATTGAAAGAAAGGGGCAAAGGATATCACATTATAACAAGATGAATGCAACTGTATCTCTACTTTTCCCCCATCGGTATGTATCTTCAGTATTCTTCACTGATAAATGATCCTGTGACCTTTAACATCTGGCCTTACAAACAATAAATTTTCATTTAATCTGTTAATGCTCATAGATATTTCAGCCAAGCTTGGTCTACATTGTTTAAATTGTTAGTAAGTTATCACAGTAATTTAATATTTTCTAGGATTTTTAACACTTTCCAGTAACGTGATGCTTTAATGGCATTTTCCAACACTTTTATGACCATTTAACCTTTGACCTTTTACGACCAAAGACTAATCAGTACATCCTTGTATGCTCATTCATACTCCATCCAAGTTTGTTTTTTATTACTTTAACGCTTTTCAAATTATTGCATTAAGATATATTCTGGCATTTTTCAACACCAAACGACCCTACTAACTTTGACCTTTTCCAACTAAAATCTTATCAGTTCATCCAAAAACTTGATTCACATTTATATGTTAGCCTAAATCCGCTCAATGATTCTTGCGTTTTTGCGGTTAAAAAAGCAGGACGGATGGACAACCCATGAACATATTTTGGGTGGCGGCGACATGAAAAAAAGATAATGGTGATAAGAGTGGGTGATGGACGTTAAAATAACTTAAATAAGAATATAAGAAGTAAAAATTTTACCCTATATATTGTAGTTGGGAAGAAGGAGCAGATCATGCCGTTATCATACAGGCCAGGGTACTTCTGATAAAGCTTGATCAGCTCGTCCACCATCTGGGAAAAAATGAAGAAGATAATTAGTTTAATCATTGTAAAGATTTTTTTGGCTTGCACCCAGTAAAGATCATGTGGTCGGTCTTGTAATCGAAACAAGTGAGAACAAATCTTGAAACCCGCAGGATTTGAACCTGCCATCTACTGGTACTCCTTGCTGGGTAGCAACTCTACCACCAGGCCGTCACTGGTTGACAGCACATGCATTAACAATGAACTTGAAACAAATACCTCAGCTCTCCTGACTTTTTCCTGACAAGATTGAGCATGCGATCTTTATCTACTGGGTGCAAGCTAAAAAAATTCTTTATAACAATTGAAACTTCTCCCAGGAAGCCTAAAAATTTACCATTCAAAGATTAGTTTTGTTTATACAGCCAGTACCGAACCATTTTGAGTGCATTCTTTTGAAAGACACTAAATTTGCTGATGTAAACTGGTTATTGTGCTACACTAGTCTATTAAACAAATACAGCGTGCATGTCATACTTATAAATGTATCAGAAAATACCAACTCTGTCATTGCTTTAAGGCTTGTGTTTTTAAGACACCTTTCTACAAAATTTACATTAAAATATTCACCTTTTTAGTAAGGGTGTACTGACTTTCGTTGGATGTATTTCATTTGTTAATTGGAACCCCCCCCCCCCTAAAAAAGAAGACCATGATCACTGTCTTTTAATATTGTTGAGCCCATGCATATTCCATTTCTAACAATGTTAAAAAATGTAACCTAGACTTATTTTGCATTTCTCTTAGGTATTTTTTGCATGAATAAAGGTGATTGAAGAAAGAAAAAAAAAGCAAATCATTGAAACGAATTCTACTTAATATTCGGCTCTTTTAAAGCACATACCGGTATCACATTATTTAAGGTCCCTATGTGCTTCCAAAGAGCTTAGTATAACAGTGATAAAATTCCATCGCCTTCCCAAAAGTTTTATTTATCTGTTGATTTCTTGTTTCTTCAAATGTGTCTGGAAAAATAACCGTTGTAAAGCTGTACAATAACCTCTCTGAAGCAGCTCAAAATGAAGAATATTGAAGTACATGAACAAACCCATTCACTTTACGCAAGCAAGACTTTAATCAGGCACAATTCACTTTCTAATAATCTAATACACTTACTTGCTTGGAATATGCCTTAACATCAAAGAAGATCCTCAGTTTGAGATTCAAGCATTCCTGGACCACCTCATCCAGAGTAGGGACAGCTTCGTAAGATATCTTGGATCGAGAACTGGGAAGAGCGATGAGAAAAGGGATAAAGCTACAGTGTGTATTTAAATTTTGAAGAAATTTTGCAATGGAACAAATGAAGAAATAGACTACTAGTAGATGACCATATGGGCAAGAAAAAGTGTGAAGAAAAGTACTTGGACAGGTTAATCCGATTCACAACCAGACACTTTCAAATATATGCTTTTGGCAGGCAGTTTAAGATTGAATATACATGTATGCATAATATGACCACTTTCTTCCACTCAAAAAAATAACCAGTAAATAATTACATTTACATTTACAATGCATAGAAAATTGCTGGTAGACCACTACTACACATAATAACAGCATTGCTGTATTATGATACTACACCATAAGGTAATAGTCAACACATGTAATCATACACTACTTGTCCTGTCCATATGTTTCAATCAATTGCTTCTTAAACTTGATTTCTGTTCTTTTACTTAAATAATGAACAGTTGAGAATTGGGAAATTGGGTAAACAAACAATGTAGTACTCTTCTCATTTTTAATAATTTTTTCATCTTTACAGAGGAGCAACAGATGGTAAAAGGCAAAAGCTTCCTTATAGGGTTTTATTCAAAACAAACAAACATAACCAAATGAAAACAAAGAAATGACCTCATGGAAAAAATATCCCCCCCCCCCCTCAAAAAAGGGGGATGGAAGAAGAGTACTCCCACCTGGAGCCTCAACGTATAAGTATTGAATTGAATTGAATGGAATTTATTCACCACTTTTATAAAAACATCCACAGTCAAAGAGTTAAATTAAATATTTCTTGCAAACATAAATAAACCAATAAAATGAAAAATACACTAAAGGAAATAACGAAGTGGTTTGATCATCAAAAAGTTACAGAAACTTATAGGTAGATGATCCTAAAAATGTTCATGTATGCAAAAAACAATTTTCATTTTCTTTCTATTTTAATAGTTGGTATTTACATTTAAGTCTATCAAAACTACCTTTAAAAAATTCAAAAAGATGAAATGAAATTAAGATGAATGGCTTAAATGTACCTGGAGGAGAATTTCGCTGCTGCATTGAGCTGACTGACTTCATCCCACATCATCTGACCGATGAAACCAGTCCCATCAGTTGTTCTATCAATGGTAGCATCGTGCATCAAGATGGCTACTCCGTCTTTGGTGATCTCAACATCAACTTCAACTCCATCAGCACCATTCTTCTTTGCCTGAAATAACAAAGTGAAAAAGGTTTTGTGTTAAACTCACTAAATGACCAATTTTTGCGGATGTACATATAGCCTAACATGTACATGTATGGCAGACAGCTAAAAATAATAAACAAATAAGATCCCACAATCTGACATAATGATCATGATCATCAATCAAAAAACAAACCTGTAAATATTTGGTGGTGGACCGTGGAAGAGTAGGTCTATCATTGGAATACTTTGACAGATTTTGCATTAGAAAAGATGTTTTCATCTTTCTTTAAAAGTTGACTTATAGGCCTAAATCTAATTACATGTAAATTAGTTTGAGATGCAACATTTCTGAGATTCTCCATCCACATGATATAGCTACATTCTAGTTCCCCCGTATGTGGCGTTACTTTAATTGTATTCATCTTATAGTGAATTGATTCTTAGAATACCTCTTGAAACTTTATGCTGTTTAAGGCAATTTAGGCGGTCCCCAAAACTTTGTAAATTATAATTTTGTTCGATTGAATAATTAAATTTTGATAGAGCTTTTTTTTTTTAATGCTACGATTCCAGCAACAAAACACACAAAATTAAAAACAGTGATTTGAAGACTTCAAGAATGAATCAGAAGATAACTGATCTTGATTATAAATAAAAATACAGTGAAATTAGTGAATCACCTCTTGAATAGCAAGGAGAGTATTTTCTGGTGCATCAGCCGCTCCTCCTCGGTGAGCTATCACACCATTGCTGGATGCAGACGGCTTCATAAACCGTTCCAGATGCGAATCAGCCGGTCGCCTTTTCCTGAAATACAGCAGACATGCCACTCCACTTATCACAGATAAGACTGAGAGTACCACGATGACATGTGATGGTAGAAACCACCAAAATGTGCAGTATGATATGACGAAGATGAATCCTGAGAAACAAATGCTCTGGCAGAAGAAGTCCAGCACAACTTCAGCACCTGCGAGCCCCAAACTTTCGGGGACCATGGTGATTACCGCACCGATGAATGGCGATGCCTTTCTTACGCCTTTGTTGCGGCAAGAATAGATGTAGCAGTTCACACGCAGTCCACCGAGTTCAGTTTGTAATTTACCAGCCTTTGTACATATACACGCTTTTTCGTTTATATATATTTAATCGTAAAATTGGCAGGAAAATATGAGTGTTGAGAATGAACTAACAATATAAACAGCGACAACAATCGAAGAACAAACTGATCGGCTGAGCTTGTCTGCTAAATTCGATCCGTGAAGTATGCATTGCGCATGCGCCAAGAAGCTAATAAGAAATTAATTAGCAGGCAGAAAGTTTGATTTGAGGCACATCTTGAAAAATCTTTTCAGTCCACAGAGTAATTACTTCCTAATTTTGACTTCAACAATGAGAGATTTTTAAAATGTTTCTGTTCTGACTATCAAAACTTTGATCTTGCTATAATTCTGTTGACTTGTTAGACCGGATATAGATCTATGTTACTGTTGCTTTTCCCAGTATATCATGCAGTGATATGTATAAAACTGCACCTGTACGTATTTCCTCGTCTCTTCAGATTCTCTCTTTCATTTATGTTTCTATATCGTATAATTTTATTTTCTGTTGTATGTAATCACGGCCCTGCTGAAAAACAGCTTTTGCTGAATGCGGGCACAATTGTATTATGTTTTTAACCGTGAATAAATAAATTTAAAAAAAAAAAAAAAAAAAAAAAAAAAAAAAAAAAAAAAACAGGCCTTAAATTCTACACTCTCCTCAATCTTGTATCCCTCTATCTCTTATAGGATATCTCTCCTCTAATACTTCTCTATTTCTCACTTTTTCCCTCCTTGCAATCTATCTTCAGTCTCGATGATGATGATGATAATAATGATTATAAGAGGAAGTGTACATAGGCCTAGTAATGAATTATAACAACAAAAAAAAAGTGCTAACAAAATAACAGTTTGTGAAGAGAAACATAAAACTCATATTTCACTCCCTTTTTCTCCCTCTCCGTCTCTCTCTCTCTCTCTCTCTCTCTCTCTCTATCTCTGTCTGTCTGTCTGTCTCTCTCTCTCTCTCTGTCCGTCTCTCTCTCTCTCTCTCTATCTCTCTCTTTCTCTCACTCTATTATCCATGTTTCCGTCTCATGTCACTCCCGAATCCATCTCCTACATCTTGTAAAAAAAAACGAATGCCTGGCAATCTTATTCATTGGCTGGAATTAGTCAAGGACAACTCTGTATCATCTGAAATGGTCAGACCAAACTAATAGCACGCTTTGTATTAAGATGATTAGATCTCTGGAACCAGGTGAAAGGAAGAACTGGCCGAATATTTGTGGATAAATAATGGTAGTCAGGATGGATTGGGAAGTGTTAACATTTCCTTTTGTCATATATTTGCGTTTATATATATTTAATCGTAAAATTGGCAGAAAATATGAGTGTTGAGAATGAACTAACAATATAAACAGCGACAACAATCGAAGAACAAACTGATCGGCTGAGCTCGTCTGCTAAATTCGATCCGTAAAGTATGCATTGCGCATGCGCCAAGAAGCTAATAAGAAATTAATTAGCAGGCAGAAAGTTTGATTTGAGGCACATCTTGAAAAATCTTTACAGTCCACAGAGTAATTACTTCCTAATTTTGACTTCAACAATGAAAGATTTTTAAATTTTTTCTGTTCTGACTATCAAAACTTTGATCTTGCTATAATTCTGTTGACTTGTTAGACCGGATATGTTACTGTTGCTTTTCCCAGTATATGTATAAAACTGCACCTTTAAGTGCAATGTACGTATTTCCTCGTCTCTTCAGATTCTCTCTTTCATTTATGTTTCTATATCGCATTAAACAGGCCTTAAATTCTACACTCTCCTCAATCTTGTATCCCTCTATCTCTTATAGGATATCTCTCCTCTAATACTTCTCTATCTCTCACTTTTTCTCTCCTTGCAACTTTCTTCAGTCTCGATGATGATGATGATGATAATAATGATTATAAGAGGAAGTGTACATAGGCCTAGAAATAATAATGAATTATAACAAAAATACTACAACTAAAATAATATATTTATGATTTTGGAGCACTTAAAAAAAAGTGCTAACAAACAACATAAAAGAAACATAAAACTCATAGAATACGTAAATCATGTTATATTACTGAGGGAAGACATGTTTTAATTTTAAAGTGGCAAGACGGTTTAATTCTCTGATAGAAAGTGGGATAAAAACGGAAAACTCTTTTCAATTCTGGATTGGGGATTAATTGATTTATATTTGCCAGATGTTGAGTAAAAGTAATACGAGCTGATGTATAAATTTTGAGTGTGTCATTAAGATATTCAGGTGACACTCTCTCTTTCACTCCCTTTTTCTCCCTCTCCGTCTCTCTCTCTCTCTCTCTGTCTTTCTCTCTCTCTCTCTCTGTCTCTCTCTCTTTCTATGCCTGTCTGTCTCTCTCTATCTCTCTCTTTCCCTCACTCTATTATCCATGTATCCGTCTCATGTCACTCCCGAATCCATCTCCTACATCTTGTACAAAAACGAACGCCTGGCAATCTTATTCATTGGCTGGAAATAGTCAAGGACAACTCTGTATCATCTGTAAGGAAATGGTCAGACCAAAGGATTTAATAGCACACTTTGTATTAAGATGATTAGATCTCTGGAACCAGGTGAAAGGAAGAACTGGCTGAATATTTGTGGATAAATGATGGTAGTCAGGATGGATTGGGTAGTGTTTACATTTCCTTTTGGACTAATATTGTACGTTACATAAAGCAAACAGAGGAATGATCAAATTCAGAATGTGAATCGCGATTCAAAATAACCAATAAGAATGAATATCCAATAATGGAGCACACAAGGAGAAAAAGATTTCTCAGTTCTCACATGGTAGGGCTATTATTGCTAGAGAAGGATTGTCGTCCCTATCATTATCAGTTGTTACTATTAGCCTGAGAACAATTATACCATTACCGGTGTTTAATCTCTACTTGCAGACAATGAACAAAGAACTTTATAATTGTGTCAACTTATCAGTGGATTAGAGCAGACGAGTTACAAAATATAACCTCTACACTGCATGGGCTATCAAAACAAACACGATATATGAAAAAGAGAAAACTTCAAGCATGAAAAATTAAGCATGTACAAATAGTTTGATAGAAACTCTTCACATCAAATAAATATAAATTTGATTTTAAAAAAACCTATGTACATTTAGAACAATGCTTTAGAAAGAAAACAAATTACAGGCATACTTATTTGTAAACTTTAAACAACATTAGTTCCAAGGAAATTATTTCTGTACATCACACACAACACAACAAAGGAACAGTCATTTTAAAGCAATTTCATACATAGAAAAACATGGACAGTGTAAGTTATATTTTATGCACATGTGTTTTTCCACCCTTATGCCCTTGTATTTTGGCTTAGGGTCTTGGATGCAGATAACGAATTTGCAGACACCCTTGTTTCCAAATTCTGGTTTTTCCAAAAGAACAGTAGGCAGTTTACTTCAAATGGTCTACTTTTTAATTTTCAATATTTGTTATTGAGAAAATTTAATTTTTTTGCATGTACTCTGAAGAACAAAACTAACATGGCTCACCTAAAATGCTTATAAATCTAGTTCATGCTTGTACTAAACTTATGTGGACTTGATCTGTATAACATTACAGCAATCCATGCATAATACAAACAAGGCCGAAAGATTCAACGAAATGGCCAATAACAGTTTATAACATACAAATAAAAATACAGCAGAATGATAGCCAGAAAACTTATCTTTTGAACTTGTATGGAATGTTGATCAGTCATTTTATCCACTTTTATACCAAGAGACATGCACATACAATGCCAGATGCCAGGACTACTTTTGCGCAAGACTGACTATTTCAACTGAACTCACTTGCATCAGACCAAATTATCTGACCCAGGTTAGGCCTGGGTTACCTTGTCAATATGAATGCAGCATAATGCCTTGCAATACATGATTTCAAAGATTTTGAAATACTTGAACATGGACAAAGTTAAAGATATGTTATTCCTAATGGCACGGTTACATTTTATTTGTTTCTGGTAAATTGCTTCCACGGCTACATCCCACAAAACCGACAGTCCCGAAATCAATAGTCCACTACTTCAACAGGAAGGTTTTAAATACCTGACAACATGATGGAAAGCTCATAAGACAGACAATGTCAATCTCACAGACTGTTGGTTTTCATCAGTCTCATGGACTATTGGTCTACCGGATGACTTCCACAAGTCATCTAGCTTACGCAGGTTTTTTTTTTTTTCATTTAATCATAAAAGATTGGGCAGGTCATATGAAACCTTCTATATTAATATTAATAACCATATTGTAATTAGATTTCAGGGCATCAAATTGCTAATTTAAATGCAAGAATACTTTTATCATTTACACATTTCTTATATTTTTCGATACAGGAAAAAATTGTAATTATATTCTGATGACTCATCAGCAGTAATGGGCATCAGAAGACTGCTCCTCAGTATCCCAATCTTGACACGAGATCTGCAATATCAAACCAAAAAGAGGAAGAGAAAAAGAAACAATATCAAATATGTTACCAAATATAATTGTTTAACCATTAGCCTGCAATGCTTCCAAGCACTGATTCCACTTTTTTCCTGATATACTGTATGACCCAATGAACTGCCAATTCTTGTTACCACAACTACCATATTTGGCCATAGAGGGCAGCAACAGCCATGGGTATATTTGGCAAATGCATTTCTGGTTCCTATACAAATAAAATGAGTAGAGAACTGGAAAGTCTGATAGAAATTATAGTTTCAGAACCAATAAGCTATAAGTAACAGATTATGATGGTGCCTACATACCCCTTGTTTTTTCGTTACTCAAGAATGAAAGGTGGACTGGTTGAATTATGGCCTTTGTTGAATACTGTTGGATGTAAGCTGAAATATTCCACAATCTTAACAAATTACAAAACTTGGTAAGGGTATGAATAATTCAGTAGTTAACTGTAGATCTCATCAAATAATCGGGAGAGTTCATGAAACCTGAAAAATTATCAATAATATAAGGAATTAGTTGACACTGCTCTACATTGTCTATGGAAGACGGAAGATACCTTCTCTCGTCGTCTACCCCAGTATCGAATCTGCCCATATATGCTGACCTCCGCAGTGTAGGAGGAAGGTTACCATCTACTGTCAAACATATTTGCGGTAGGGACATATTACTTTGTACAGCATTTCTTAAGCATGAAAAATTACATAGAGCAATTGAAATTAAGAATGTTTTGAAATGAAATGAACCAAGTACCTTGATAGCTGTCCATCTGGTCATTAGCATCCTCTTGCTTCTTAGCTTTACCAGCCTGAGGGTTCTGTGGTGACAGAAAAATGATCAAGAAAAAAAAAGGAATAATCATAACACTAACAATAATACTACAAGTGTAACAAGTGGTATGCAGGGGCGGCCGAGCGACTTCCAAAGTGGGGGGGGGGGGCACCAAGAAAAAAAGGGCACTTTCTGGATAAAAAGGGCACCTACAAAGGGAAATCTCACAGCGAAAATATACAATTTTTTTAGATATTGGTATATACCCCTACATTGTAATAACAATTATCGGGGATGATTTCAATATTTGTTTTACTTTATACACCATACAAGATATTGCTTTGCAGTCGGGTTTGAATTTCTAAAAAAAAAAAATGTTCGCGAGCGAGCGAAGATAGCGAGGAAAAATGTTAAGATGTGTGAGGTCGCAGTGCGATAAATTACATCTTACAAAGAGGAAAATCCCAATCCTAATGGGAATATAAGCACATTCTCATAACGAAAGAGTGAAAAGACTTTTGATAAGTAACATATTACAGTATATCATCTATAGATGCGTGCGAGCGTAGCGAGCGAGCTTTGGGGGAAATTGCTCTTAGTCGCTTGAAATTAGCTAGGGCGCGTTTAATGATGAGAGGAAAGGAGGACCTTATCAAGAAAGAAAAGGACCATGTGCCAAAGCACAAAGAGTAAATATCACAGGTGAAAACGGGGCACTTTTTACAGGGATTAAAAAGGTGAGTCATTAGAATAGGAAATGGGCATTTGTCGACGGAAAAGAGGCCCCCATCAGATTTTGAACAGGGGATTTATGAAAAGGGGATAAGTCCCTTATTGGAAAGGAAAAGGGGCACGTATCATTGTTAAAAGGGAATTTATCAGAGGTGAAAAGAGGCACTTATCGCATCTGAAAAGGGGCAATGACCAGATATGAATAGGGGCACTTATGTGAATGAAAAAGGGGCACTTGTAATAAAGGAAAATGTGCATTATTTGTAAGAAAATGGGTACCGATCAGATTTTAAAGGGGCATTTATCGGAGGTGAAGGGGGCATTTATCTGAAGTGAAAAGAAATAACTTCTCGTACCTGAAAAGGGTCATTTACCAGAGAAGGGGCACTTATGAAAAGGTGAAGGGGCTGTTTTTTAATGGGGCACTTATCATTGGGGAAAAGGGGCACTTATTAGAAAGGGAAAAGGGCACATGTGAACATATAAGGTGCGCTTATCCGAGATAAAATGGGGGTGGTTATTAAGATAGGAAGGGGCACTTCTTACAAAGGAAAAGGGGCACTTGTCAAAGTAAAAGAGGCACCTCTCAGAATTAAATAGAACAATTATCAGAGGTGAAGGGGGCACTTATCAAAAGTGAAAAGAGGCACTTCTCGTACCTTACTGGGGGACACTTACTAGAGGGGAACGTGTCCAAATACAAAGGGCACTTATCAGAGTTGAAAAGGGGAAGGGGCACTTTTACAAATTAATAGGGGCACTTGTCAAAAAGGGGCACTATTCCTATGTAAAAAGGGGAACTTCTTAAAAAGTAAAAGGGGGCACTTTTCGGGTGCTTGAAAAAGTGGGGGGGGGGCACTGTGCCCCCCTTGCCCCCCGGGAGGGCCGCCTCTGGTAGTATGATAACAATTATAAGTGTAAAATAAACAAAGAATAAAATGAAGGTATTCAATAATTACCAAAATTTACTAGTAATGTACTGAAAAATTCTTTAAAACACTCATATAACTTTTTTTTACAAAAGTTTTATTACTAAAATTTCAACTGCATTTTTCTTCTATTAAAAATAACTCCTCATTTACAAAGGATTTGGATAGAGAGCATGAATAAGAATAGATACTGTACGTATCAGAAATGAGGAAATGCCCAAAACAATTTTTCCCCCTTTTTCCGTGGACAAATAATTATTGATATGCCTTAAAATCTTTGCCTTTTATATCTTTCCCCCTAAATGTGACGAAGTCATCGGTTAGTGCTTATAACAAAATTATCTGGTAATTTTATCAAGTTGTCTTGTATCATTCTCAAGGTTTGTACGGCATACCTTCAGAACAGACTGGGGCACTTCCAGTAAGTCACAGATGTGGTTCCTGACTGGTCTACATTTGGCCTGCGATTCTTGCCTGTGGGGGGACAACACACAAAAAGATCAATAAAGACAGAAAGGGTCACAAAAGTGAAAAACGCTTTTGACACGATACATCTTGACAGTCAATATACATTTAATATAGGAATCCAATCCACATACCAAGTGTGTCAGTAACATAATGTTAGGAAGACAATAATGGATGGATCGGTGCATTAGGAAAAACACCTCTACCAGAAGTATATTGGAACCAGACTCACTTCAATACTCAAATTTGAGCACTTGGAAAGGGCCGTGTTCTCATTGACAATCAGTCATGATGTCGTGGATTTTAATCCTAGCCTGACATCAATACATTTTGTAGACAAGCAGAAGTTCATCTACACTGTTGGTCATCTTGTAAGTAAGTACTTCAGCTTGGGACTTTCTGCTGCTACCAAATGATCATACATGAAGATTGCACTCTTGATGCCAATCAGAAAGCCGAGGAATGGGGTCTTGTGTGGTGTGAGGTACATGAGTTTGCCATGAACATCTGTGATGGAGCTGAGGTAGCTGTAATTTGCATCTGTCATGAATGGTCTCCAGAAGTGTTCATTTTGTGGACGAAGAGGAGCTTTAAAGTTGCGTGCTAATGGGTTCCGTGAGTTCAGTACATCGAAGAAATAATCTACTTTCCTAATGAACCGTGCTGTGGCACTGCAGCCCTTGAACTGACGAAGTCCCTGCTCCTCAAGAAATTCTAGAGCATCAGCGACACTCCTGCTCAGAGTTTGAGCGGCAATGTTTACTTTCATTTTCTGTTTTTGCCACTGGATGTGGGCACTCATTATTGTTGCCTAATCGCAAGCCTTCATCTTCCTGCAGTTTATGCAGCTCCTTCACAGTCCCAATTGATAGACTTCCCTTCGTCATTCTTCAAGATCCCATTTGATGCCAGGGCGTTTCTCATTAGTTTGAGCATGTGACAGATATCTAGAAAGACACTGACACAGTGATCTGAGTTGAGTGGGTGGGGGAATGAGGGAACAAGGTCAGGCACTTTCATCGATGCTCCTAATGTTTCCAACATTTTCACGTGACATGATGGCCCATCACAAGTCAGAGATTCGATGAAGATTCCAATATCTACAAGCTTACTCAGGCACTGCTGAACGAGATTTGCCCGGTCAACTCCTGTCATGCTCTTTATTAATTTAGTGGTACCACCATAAAGACAAGAGCTTCTGTTGCAACTGGATTTGTGTCATCCTCACATTCTGTTCCGACATCAACGTAACCATGGAATCTGGTACCATCCCACTGAATATGCTTCTTTATTGACATCTCATCCAGCATCAGGGCACACACAAGTTCATGTCCATTTGCCTTTGCCTCCTTAGCCTTACGTTCAAGTGTACAGAATGCCTCCGCTATAAATCCTGGTTTATCGGCTATACCATTTCCGGATGACAGATGTGTGGGGTAATTGGAGGTCAAATGTCTTGCAGACAAACCTATATGCCTTTGCAGAGTCCACGATATCATCATAGATCATCAACGCAATGATAAGCATGTTCATAAATAACATATTTTGTTAATTACAACAGATTAAAAGTTGATTAGTAAAACACTAACCATGGACAAAATACATCAAATAAAAACATATAGGCCTATTTCCTTGCTATGTATATTATATGAAATGGTCTGTGTTGACATGAGCGATAATTAGTGCAAGAGCTAATTAACTTACAATTATAAGTTAATTAGCTCTTGCACTAATTAAGTGTATGCCAACTGTAAGTTTCAACTGGTTCCAGTTAAAACCAATTAGGCAACTGGAACCAGTTGGCAATTGGTTTCAACTGGTTTCAATTGGAACCAGTTGTTCCAATTTCCCTATTGAAACCAGTTGGCAACTGGTTTCAATAGGTTTTGCTCAAATTGGTTTCAACTGGATTTTTGTCCTGGGAGCGCAAGGCTCCATTCCCACGGGTGCCTGTTCAACGACAATCCAAGCCTCAACAGAAAGATGATTCCAACTTTCGCTCTGGAGAGTGTTCAAGTAAGGAGCTGGCATATCGTGGACACGAATGCAGTACACCGGTCAGACCCAAACCACTTGAAGACGTCAGTGTGTCCGTGCTGAATGCAGTCCCCCAGGGGTTTGAAATGTTAGAAAAGACGTGTGATATGCCAGCAGAAATAATGAAGAGATGTGTCAAGTCAAGGAGCAAAGATGTATCGTCCAAGGAAAAGTATTCCCCTTCAATGCGAGCTTTTGCCCTGACCTTAAACTTCTACATATAGGTTTGTCTGCAAGACATTTGACCTCCAATTACCCCACCCATCTGTCATCCGGAAATGGTATAGCCGGTAAACCAGGATTTATAGCGGAGGCATTCTGTACACTTGAACGTAAGGCTAAGGAGGCAAAGGCAAATGGACATGAACTTGTGTGTGCCCTGATGCTGGATGAGATGTCAATAAAGAAGCATGTTCAGTGGGATGGTACCAGATTCCATGGTTACGTTGATGTCGGAACAGAATGTGAGGATGACACAAATCCAGTTGCAACAGAAGCTCTTGTCTTTATGGTGGTACCACTAAATTAATAAAGAGCAAGACAGGAGTTGACCGGGCAAATCTCGTTCAGCAGTGCCTGAGTAAGCTTGCAGATATTGGAATCTTCATCGAATCTCTGACTTGTGATGGGCCATCATGTCACGTGAAAATGTTGGAAACATTAGGAGCATCGATGAAAGTGCCTGACCTTGTTCCCTCATTCCCCCACTCACTCAACCCAGATCACCGTGTCAGTGTCTTTCTAGATATCTGTCACATGCTCAAACTAATGAGAAACGCCCTGGCATCAAATGGGATCTTGAAGGATGACGAAGGGAAGTCTATCAATTGGGACTGTGAAGGAGCTGCATAAACTGCAGGAAGATGAAGGCTTGCGATTAGGCAACAATAATGAGTGCCCACATCCAGTGGCAAAAACAGAAAATGAAAGTAAACATTGCCGCTCAAACTCTGAGCAGGAGTGTCGCTGATGCTCTAGAATTTCTTGAGGAGCAGGGACTTCGTCAGTTCAAGGGCTGCAGTGCCACAGCACGGTTCATTATGAAAGTAGATTATCTCTTCGATGTACTGAACTCACGGAATCCATTAATTAGCACGCAACTTCAAAGCTCCTCTTCGTCCACAAAATGAACACTTCTGGAGACCATTCATGACAGATGCAAAATACAGCTACCTCAGCTCCATCACAGATGCTCATGGCAAACTCATGTACCTCACACCACGCAAGACCCCATTCCTTGGCTTTCTGATTGGCATCAAGAGTGCAATCTTCATGTATGATCATTTGGTAGCAGCAGAAAGTCCCAAGCTGAAGTACTTACTTACTTACAAGATGAGTCAAGACCACCTGGAGTTGTTCTTTTGTGCGATGAGATCATCGCTAGGAGCCAATAATAATCCCACAGCTCGCGAATTCACTAACTCCTACAAGAAAATGATCATCTGACATGAAATAAAGGGAGTTGGAGGGAACTGCATTGCACATGATAGCACAACTATCCTGCATGTATCCAGTCACCAAAACAAGGTTAGAGACTCTAGCGATACGGATAATGACTTGCACCTTATCCTAAAGTATGACCTGTCAGTTAGACGTCCTACTGCTACTGATCATGACTATGCCGACATCCCAAACTTCAGTGAACTATCAGCCTACAAGATGGCAGCAATTCCTTACATAGCAGGATACACAGTTAGAATGATACGGAGGCAGTTGAAATGCGAAGAGTGTGCCGAGGCCCTCACAACTGGTGAACTCATGAAGGGCAGCTTTCTTGAAAAGAAAGATAGAGGAGGGCTTGTGAGGCCTGCGCCAGATGTCATAAAGGTGGGTGACACAGCAGAGAGATGCCTGCAGCGACTTTTGAAAGTAACCAGTGGTAATCTCCCATAATCACATGGCCTCCCGCATGCTTTTTGCACAGCAGTTCTTGAAGAAGTTGGTCATGGCAGTATCTTTTCTTCTTTGTCTGATCACATGTTTGACTCGCCAGCAGACTGTAATCATGTATTTCTCCTAGTGAAGGGAATAGCTGCAGCTTTTCTCAAATCCGCATGCATCATCTGGCAAAACAGCAGACTGAAAAAATCAGTGGACCAGTTATCCGCAAGCAATTGTTGAAGTTGGTGTTGTTTAAGCATCAGTGTTTATGGTAGATTGCATAATCCTTACATTTTTGATCGCATTTTGTAGTTTAACTTTTAGACAACAAATACAAATTCTGTTCACAGGAACTGACTGTCATGTGCCATTGATATATCGAACAGTGAATTTTCAATCCTAATCACAAGCTCATTCGCAAAGATATTTTCTCATCCATGAATTAAATCTCCAAGCTTGAGGTTGAGGATACAGTTATAAAAGGATATGATATGTATTATGTACTTGTATTTTTTGTTGAATTCATTTTATTAATGCTCTAAAGTAACTCAGTGATATTTTTCAGTCTGTTTATCACAATGTCTTATTTAAAGATACAACGCAAATTTTTGGTGGTGACTTTATCAATATTTAGTCCAATATGTTAGAAGAAGTTCGTGCTATGTTTCATACACTGACTGTACAATTGAGTTGTTGATTATTGATACATGTTAGATGCTGCTTGTAAGTGTCGGCTTGCATGGTGATGTAGATATACAGTAGATACGCGGGTGCACCATGTGTGAGAGAGAGAGAGAGAGAGAGAGAGAGAGGGAGAGAGAGAGTGTTGAGGAGTCCTGAAAAAGACTCTGACTCAGTAATCTTACTTGGTCGGCTGGTACGTCTGACTGTCCGTCTGGGCTGGAGTTTTCGAGTTGCGGACTTAGGAGATTTTGGAGTCGATGAGTGGGGTGTGCTGTCGGCGAGACGCTGTGTGTGTCCCCGACGTAGGCGGCGTTGTAGTCTGTTGTCGTCTGCTGTGTATTGTAGCTGTGAGGCTGGCGGCTGCTTTGGGGGTTCGGCGGGTGGCGGTGGTTGATGTACGGGTGTCTGTCG